ACAGACGGGGACCAGGACGGCCATTCCCTGGCATGTACGGACACGCCGCTGACCCAGAAGGTCTCCGCGCCGGCTTCAGCCTGGCCCATGGCCCCCCACGCATACAGCTCATGAAGGAGATGTTCCTGACCGAGCGCTGGCACGCAGGCTGGTACTACGAGGAATGCCTGATCCACCACTGGGACATGGCCCCGTCAGCAATGAAAGACGTACTCGACAGGTGCGGCCCTGACGTATACCCTAGCGCAGGAGCCAGACCCCTCGCCGGGCTACCAGGCATCCCCGCCGCCTCGACAGGGGTCGCAATACGCCCCAACCATCAGGAAGTGCGGCGGCGCGCCGCTGCCTGGGACGAGGAAGCGCGCGCCTACCAGGAGCGCCTCCACAGCGCACCCCCGCCACCTCCCAAGGATAAGCAGCAACACCTAGCCTGGGAGCGACAGCTGGCGCCCAGAGAGACGCACGCAAAGGTGGCGGCACAGATCAGGGGCAAGGGTGACGGGGAGGCAGACATCGGATGGGGCCAGGCACACAGACCCCAGCGCCACAGCTTCAGCTCAGCCAACCGCCGGACGCACGCCCAGCAGTGAGCCCCAGCAGCACACCGCCCCCCGAGCGGGCGGGCGCCCTGACCACACCTCCAACCAGGAAGACAGCCCAAGACCCGCCAAGGAAAGGCGCCTGACGCCCCGCGACTCACTCCCGCCCACTCCGCGCGGCGACGAGCCGGCCCCGGCCCCTCCCGCCACGCGACCCACGGCTACCAAGTCCGTTGGGGCGCCACCAGCCGCCAGCGCTACTCCTGATCCCCTCCCCGAGAGCGAGTGGCCCAGCCGCCTCGAACGGCAGAGACGGCGCGTCCCAGACACACCCATCCAGGGCTCCTTCTGCCCGATCGCAACGGACAGCCCGTGCATCCAGAGCGGCGACTACGCGGCCATCAGGAACGACACCCTCCCCCGTGCCAGGTGGTTCAGTTCCGCGAACAGCACAGAGCCCCTGTCCACAACCCCTGGACGGAGCGGCATTCGGACCCGCCCTGGACGTCCTGGCCCGCGAACAGGACGGGCGAACCCTTATCGTCCAAGTCGACAACGAGTGGCTGGAAGTCTGGGGCGCCAGCACCAGGACGCTACGCGTGAACGTCCTCCGCGGCGACGCGGCGACCCAAGCAGTCGCCTTCCTGGGCAGGACCTCCGACGAGGCACACGGAGCGCAGTCACCAGCGGCCCCCGCCAGCTCCTGGCTCGGCGCCGACATCGGGAGCGCCAACGCGACGTCCGCAGAAGGGACTCAGCTCGACTCCAAGCCTGAACCTTGCGCGCCGCGCACGGACACACAAGACCCCACCTACGAGCCGGCACCCCTCGTGCACCCTAAGGAGGAGGACCCTGACTGGACCAACGACGACCAGGAACAAGAGAGGAAGCAGAGGCTCGCGGAGGCCTTAAGCATGGTCCACACGGTCTCTCCCTCCTCAAACCCCGACTCAGTCGAGGAGGGCCAAGCCAAGTTGAGCTCTCGTGACGAAAGACGCAGCAGTCCCGAGCGCGACTCAAGCAGCACGCACCAGACCCAGCCAGCCTGCGCACCCACGGAACCGACCGCGTTTGCGACGGCCGCCGCCGACGACCGCGCCCTGCACACGCGGCCCAGATCCACAGCCCCACAAGACAGGCGCCCCGCACTCAACCCCACTGCACATGAGCTAGAGCGCTTGCGCGACAGGGCGCGGGATCCAATTCCCTGGGAATCGTAAGAGACTGCGGCGAGGTGCTCGCCCAGAGAAACCAGCGACCAGGCCCGCGCCGGGGAGCGCGACCACGACCGAGACCGCGACCGCAACAACAAAGACGCAGAGGGGGCCCCGAGGCGCAAGCAAGACACCAACGACTGGGACAGAGCCAGGGGGCGCGACTTGAACCAGGACCGCGACTGTGGCGGGGGCACAGGGTGGACCCCCTGGCGCCGGCCAGAAGGTCAACGCAGCTCTCACCACAGGGACGATCGCCGTTACCCTGACCCCAGCCGTCCACGGACAATCCATCGCGTCAGCTGGCCGCGCCGCTCACACGAGACAGCAATCACACACCTGAAGAGGCTGCAGGCTGAGGGAGGATACCACTTCACCGCAGCCTGGCACTCGCGGCGCAGGCAAAGGCATATCCAAAAACCAGGTCGCGTTCGACCCGAACTGCTGGCAGCCCAAGATAACCGACAGATTTCTGAGGATATGGACAGCTGCAACCACCACGTGGGGACGCGGTCTCGGCACGCCGGCGCCCACGTGGACTGGGGCCCGGAAAAGGCCCTGCACCAGGATGTCCAGAAGAAAAGAAAGGTTGCCAAAGGCAAAGGTGAAGGGCGCGGGGAGGACCAGGCGCGCAGCTCCGGGTACAACGACAACTGGACCGGGAAGCGCCCCAGGCGCTGACCAACTTGCAACCGACCCCCCCTGTCAGGCGCAGCGCGCCGCGACCGACTTGTCCCTCTCCCAACGACTTACGGCATGGTCCTTGCCCAACCCACCGCTGGCCACGCCCACCAAATGTTCCCCCGCCCCCCTCCCTCACCACCTGGTTTGGGACCGCGTGCCCTCCTGTTCCCCCCCACCTGTCCCCCCGCAGCCTTGGCTGGAAAGCTGATCCAGAAGCCTGGCAGCCCGCGGGCGCCCCCGCCACGTGCACGGCGCAGGCACGCGCAGCCTGACGGGCGCAGTAGCGGCGCACTTGGTACGCGCACGGCTCCACTAGCGGCGTCTGCCTACTGGCCCACCTGGCCCCCGACTGCGGCGCCTGCCCCCCACCCCCCCTCCTGTCTTCATCGCGCATTGGGACCGTGTGTCCCACCTGATCCCACTGGGAGCCCAGCTCCTCCCACGTGAGCGCCGATGGCGCGGGCTGGCACGTCGACGGCTGGCGGTGAGCGCCGGCCCTTCTCCTTCCCGTTCGCCCCTTCCCCCCCCGCTCGCTTCCCCCCCCGCTCGCCCCCCCCCCCCTCCCATGGCGGCAGCGCCCGGCACTGCGCGGCTTCGGCCGGGTGCCAGGCGCTGCACCTTGCCGCCTCGGCGGCCCCGCTCGCCATGGCGCTGCGCGGCTCAGGCCTGGCCCTTGGAATTGTGGACGTCAGCGCGTCGTGCGTGGATGCTGCTCGTCTTCACGCGCTGGCGATGCAGGACAGGATTTCTCCATGCAGCCCACCGACTTCCTGTCGGTCATGGACGGCTCTGTCGTTTGGAGGCCGCACCTCAAGCTACGCTGCTACCTGGTCGTGGATTGGACTACCACCCCGGGCCTCCTCCGCATCATCCGGTGGCACAACGTTGCTCATCCCCGTCGTGGTGCTCTCCTTCCTCCTGGGCGTCGACCTGGTCAAATGGCGCGTCCTCCCCTGCAGTGCTTGAGGCTGGCGTTCGCGGGTGCCGTCGACGGCAACACCATTCCTTCGCCTTCCGGGCCTTCGCCCTCGGCCCCTGCCCCATGGCGCACCTTTTCCTGCACATCCACTTCGGCACCGCCTGCTCTCTGGGCCCCGCCCGCTCCGGGCGCCTGAGGCCCCGCCTTCCTGTGCCCTGTCTCCCCAGTTAAAGCTGCGCGTAGCCCGCCTAGCTTTCAGCGGAAGAGGTTCGCACTCACCATGCAGATCAAAAGAGTGCGTGTGAATGCGTGCGGGCGTGCGGGTGCGCGGGCGCGCGGGTGCGCGGGTGCGCGGGCGCGCGGGTGTGCGGGTGCGCGGGCGCGCGGGTGCGCGGGTGTGCGTGCGTGTGTTTGCGTGCGCGCGTGCGTGCGTGCGTGCGCGCGTGCGTGCGCGCGTGTTCGCGTGTGTGCGTGTGTGTGTGTGTGTGCGTGTGCGTGCGCGCGTGTGCGTGCGTGCGCGAGTGTGCGTGTGGGGGCGTGTGGGCGTGCGTGCGTGTGTGCGTGTGTGCGTGTGTGCGTGTGTGCGCGTGTGCGTGTGCGCGTGTTTGCGTGTCTGCGTGTGTGCGTGCGTGCGTGTGTGCGTGCGTGCGCGTGTGCGTGTGCGTTTGTGCGCGTGTGCGTGCATGCGTGCGTGCGTGCGTGCGTGCATTCTCGTGCAGGTGTGTGAGTGCGCGTGCGTGTGTGCGTGTGCGTGTGCGCGTGCGTGTGTGCGCGTGCGTGTGCGTGTGCGTGTGCGTGTGGTATGCGTGTGCGTGTGCTTGCGTGCGTGTGTGTGTGCGTGTGCGTGTGCGTGTGCGTGTGCGCGCGTGTGCGTGTGAGTGTGGGTGTGGGCGTGGGCGTGGGCGCAGGTGTGTGTGTGTGTGCGTGTGCGCGCGCGTGCGCATGCGCGTGCACATGCGCGCGTGCTCGCGTGCGCGTGTGCGTGTGCGCGTGCGTGTGCGTGTGCGAGCGCGTGTGCGTGTGCGTGTGCGTGCGCGTGTGCGTGCGCGTGTGCGTGTGCGTGTGCCGTGTGAGTGTGCGTGTGCGTGTGCGTGTGCGTGCGCGTGTGCGTGCGCGTGTGCGTGTGCGTGTGCGTGCGTGCGTGTGCGTGTGCGTGTGCGTGTGCGAAAGCGAGCGTGTGCGTGTGCGTGTGCGTGTGCGAGCGCGTGCGCGTGCGCGTGCGCGTGTGCGTGTGCGTGTTCGTGTTTGCGAGCGTGCGTGCGTGCGTGTGTGTGTATGTGCGTGTGCGCGTATGTGTGCGTGTGCGTGTGCGTGTGCGCGTGTGTGTGCGTGCGTGTGCATGTGCGTGTGCGTGTGCGTGTGCGTGTGTGTGTGCATGTGTGTCTGTGCGCGTGCGTGTGTGAGCGTGTGTGCGTGTGCATGTGCGTGTGCGTGTGCGTGCGTGTGTGTGTGTGTGCATGTGTGTGCGCGTGTGCGTGTGTGTGTGTGTGCGTGTGCGTGTGTGTGTGTGCGTGTGCATGTGCGTGTGCGTGTGCGTGTGCGTGTGCGTGTGCGTGTGCGTGTGCGCGTATGTGCGTGTGCGTGTGCGCGTATGTGCGTGTGTGTGTGTGTGTGCGCCTGCGTGCATGGCCCTCTCCGTCCGACCTGCGACTCCCACTCGAAGCTGACGACGAGTTCGTAGAGCAGAATGCGCTTCCCCTTCCGGACGGAGGCGGTGGCGTGGCCCGTCACCCCGATTTCGCGGAGCAGCACGCTGGCCCCGCCCAGGCTGGGAACGTGCCGGAACCGCTGCTGCTCGAGGCGCGCGAGGGCTGCGGCGACGGCGGCGCGGGCTGGCTCGATGGCGTTGCGCTCCTGCGGGAGGCGAAGACTGTCGAAGCATGGCCACGATAGCGCGGGCCTCTTCGAACAGAAGCCCCTTTCAAACAGGAGCCGCAGAAGCGTGGGCCCCTTCGGGCGCCATAGGAGCGCGGGCCCCAAGAGCGCAACAAGAGCGCCACCAGAGCGTTGGAGTGCCGAAGCATGGCCACAAGGGCGCGGGTCCCTTCGAGCGGAAGCCCCTTTCGCTCAAGGTCTGGCGCCCTACAAGGAGACACCCCAGACGGAATGCATCGCAGGGCAGAGGAGCCCAAGATACGAGGAACACTTGCGAGCCCCTCCAAAGCTCTGGTCCCTCGTGCCAGCTCTGCACGCCAGCAGCATCTGCGGACAGGGCCGCCATGATGTTCCCGAGAGGACCCCCCGAGAGGTCCCCCCCCGAGACTCCCCAAGAAACGCGGGCACTGTGCCGAAACGGGCCGAATGCTATCCTAGATAGACCAACAATTGGCTGCCGACAACACGCATCGCCGACCACCTCCCTGGAGACTCGAACCTACGGGCCCGCGACTGTACATTGTCGCTGCTCCTGGCCGAGCTCTTCCTGGGACCACCGCTGCTGGCCAGCATTGGCACCAGTGTACTGCTTTGGAGCTACTGTTTTTGGAAGTCTAAATAACTTTCTCTCGGGGGAGGCAGAACGTACCGCCCACATCGGGACGCCAGGGCGTCAGGTACTGGCGCGGTGCCGCCCTCAAGACCCTCACTGGGGGCACGTCGCCCTGGGGGGACATTCAGCCTCACAAGGTAACCGCCACGGTTACGATGCCACCAGCGTGTGCTTGCCCGACGACAATACGACGCAAGCAGCGCAACGAGGGCCAACACGGGCTGCGCACTATCGGTGGAGGTGAAAAGGGTAAGCGCACACGTTGGGCCAACACGCGTCCTGGGGATCACCGACAGGATTTCCCCTCCTGACCCTCCTCCATGAGACGAAGGAGACCTAAACACAATGATTTGTAATCCTAGGGTCCACGCTGGGTACAGAGCGCAGTGTACTGCTAGCACGGTGCTCTGTGGGGCCTCTCAAGCAAATGGCTGCGGAGATGGGGAAGCGTTGCTGCAAACCCGTCTCCCGCCTGTGCAAAACTGTGAACGCAACTATCTTGCCAGAAACGGAATTCAAACCGATCCAGCCAGGCCGACCCGTGAGGGCCTGGGGGTGCCAAACTGGGCGAAAACGCCCGGTATGAAAAAATCGCCAAGATCTGCCAAGACCCCCCGTCGTGCTTTGTTCACAGCATGGACCCTGGAGGTCTGGACCGGGACCGCTTTCCCATCCTGGGCCGTTTTTTCACGGCCCTGGGACTCGGTGATGCCCCCAGAGGCTGAAACTAGCGAAACGCCTCCCGTAGTGATTTTTCACGACGCCAGGATCTCAGTGTAGCTCTCTTCGCCTGGTCCATCCTCCCAGTGCCAGTTGTTCACGTTCCACAAGCTGCCAACGGCAGGGCCTGCCGCGGGCGTTGCAGTCGCCACCGGAGCCGTCACCCCCTCCGCGGCGCCCGCCGCGGGCGGCGCCGCCTCCCACGGCGCGGCCGCCGCCGCCTGCGCGGGCGCGGACGCGGCGGCCGCGGCCACTGGCGCCGCGGCCACCGGTGCCACGACGGCAGCGGCCACTGGCGCGACAACGGCGACCGCGGCAGCCGCAGCGGCGAGCGCCGGGAGCGGAGCGCATCCGGCGGCGGCGGGGCCCCCGCCCGCGGCGACCGCGGCAGGCGCGACCGACAGAGGCGCCGCAGCGGCGGGCCAGGACAGCGTGAGCTGCCGCCGCCGGCGGGAGAAACGGGCCGCCCCGCCAGGCAGGGCGCGGGCCTGCGGCGGCAGCAGCACCTCGGCGGCCCAGGTGCCCGCGGCGAGGCGCAGGGCGTCGGCGCCGACAGCGCGAAGGCCAGAACGCCCCTGGGCGCCCCAGCCCGTCACCCCAGACGCCCTCGTGTCGAAAAGTATCCTGGCGAAAGACCCAATCATGCGCAACTGCGAATACCGCATTGCGTGTACCGTTTTCGGTGGAGCTCAATATGAGGCCACAATCCTCGTGAGAGGTGTGCCACAATGGGCGTCGGGCGCGTGCCGCCTGTGCCACTGGGGCCTTCGGTGGAGCTCCTCGTGAAGGGTCTGCCAAAATGGGTGGCGGTCCCCACATGCGGACCATGCAACTGGGGCCTTCGGTGGAACTCCCTGTTGGGCCACCAACCCTGTTGGGCCACGAACCGTCTGAGGGGTGTACCAAAATGGGTGGCGGTCCCCGCATGCGGACCCTGCCACTGGGGCCTTCGGTGGCGGACCCTGCCGCTGGGGCCTTCGGTGGAGCTCACCGTGGGGCCACGATCCTCGTGTTGGGTGTGCCACGATTGGTGGCGGTCCCCGCATGCGGACCCTGCCGCTGGGGCCTTCGGTGCAGCTCCCTGTGGGGCCACGATCCTCGTGAGGGGTGTGCCAAAATGGGTGGCGGTCCCCGCATGCGTGCGGACCCTGCCACTGAAGCCTTCGGTACTCCCTGTGGGGCCACGATCCTCGCGAGGGGTGTGCCAAAATGGGTGGCGGCCCCCGCATGCGGACCCTGCCGCTGGGGCCTTCGGAGGAGCTCATGTGGGGCCACGATCTTCGTGAAGGGTGTGCCAAAATTGGTGGCGGTCCCCGCATGCGGACCCTGCCGCTGGGGGCCTTCGGTGGAGCTCCTCGTGAGGGGTGTGCCCAAATGTGCCCCGACTTGGAGCTGGACACCGACTGCCTGCAAGTTTGGCGAATCCCGACAACGACCCAGCAGTGGTTTCACGAGTGGCCGAGAATACGTCATTCGGGAACCGACTACACCTTCAACAGATCTGTTCGGAATCCTTTTTCAAGGCAGCAAACTCATCAGCATTGAGACGGACAGTTCTGGCGAGGACGAGGCCCCAGCGGGGCCATTTCAGCGAGGTGATTTATTGATGTTTTGGCGATCTGGTAACCTAAAGCGTAACCTGCATGCACGATGGCATGGACCTGCCCGGTGCCTGGGCAAGGATGAGCACGGTTACTGGCTGATCCACAACAGGATCCCGATCCTAAGTTCACCCAGTCTCCTTCGAAGGGCGACTGAGCACGAGGTGACCACCATGCAGTTCACCGACCTGTTTTCAGACAGCGGACCTGCACGTGGACGAGCTGGTCAGCGTGGTTTTCTGGACCTTCGAGGTCAACAGTATAACCCAGCACGAGATGATCAACAGCCAGACCAGCAGCCAGATCAACGGCCAGATCAGCAGCCAGATCAACATCAAGATCACCGAGATCCAGGACATCAGCAGCATCCTGGACAGGGCGATGTTCCACCACAGCCAGCAGGTGGACAAGGTGATGCACCCTCGAGTGCACCGACGACGGCACAAGCAGCACCTGCTCAGGGCAACGTGGAGCTGACGAAGCCAGCGGACAGCAGGAAGCGACGATCGGAAGTGGTACACGATAACGACGTGATGCCAATGCGTCAGAGGCTGGACGACGAGTACGAGACAGTACCAGCTGATCAAGATCCAGTGAAGGAAGACCTTCGAGCACGAATTGTTCGAGCGCACCAAGCTTGGGACACCATCTTGGGAGCAGTGGCGGCCAGAAGCCAGGGCAAGACCGACCTGAGGCAGCTGGATAACGTCAGGAACGCCCCTCTTCTACCTGACCCGACACCTGGGTGCAAGATCGAGAGGCGGCGGCTTTTCAACTTGGACACGCGCGACCGGGTTCAAGATATCTCGAGAGTGGACTGGACAGCCAATCCCCAGATCATCGACGATGTGGCATCGCAAGACCCCATCACGACCATCGAGGAGATCACTCTGGGAAAGGAAGAGGAAGCTGGAGATGGACCAGGAGGTGGCCAACAGCCTGCAGCAGCCCCGCAGGGGCCTACCAACACCGACGAAACCATGGAGGAACCTAAGGAGGTGAAGCGCGGAGGCAAGAAGCACACCAAGAAGGACCTGAAGCTCAAGCAGACCAAGCGGGACGACGCTCAGGACGATCGAGCTCAGCTTCGAAAACCTGCCAGGATCCAGAGGCACATGGAGGAACGCCAGAAGGCAGAAGAGACGGCAGCAGTACCAGCAGAGGCACCGCAGGATCAGCCGGCTACATCATCAAGTACGCGACAGCCTGCGCAGGGCAGGCGCCAGGAGCACCCAGTCACGATCAAGGAGTTCTTGCTGGACGATGTGCCGATCAGCATCAAACGAGCCCGGGCACAGACTGGGCCAGTCAAGCAACTGGCAGATACACCGCTACTCGTCGAGGCGTTCGTGGCCGAGCGAATGTGCAGCCAACCGACGAGGGCCAACAAGCATCAAGAGATCAACTTAAAGACGCTGGGCGGCGACAAGCTCAAGTGGAAGAAGATGCAGCAGGCGGTGGAGAAGGAGTGGAACACGTGGTGCAAGTACGATGCAGCAACCCACATATCAGGAGCAGCAGTCGACAAGGTCGACCCGGACAAGATCCTGAGCTCCAAGGTGGTCTGGACCGATAAGGACCCCACGACCTTCGAGCCGAAGGCCAGGATCTGTGGGAGAGGCTACGAGGAGGAGTTCGACGACAAGCTACGACGGGACTCACCTACAGTCTCAGCACAGATGACGGTACTCCTGTGCAGCATCGTATCAAGCCTCAACTTGGACCTAGTCATCGCAGATGTGAAGGGAGCCTTTCTGCAAGGAAAAGCCATCACACGCGAGCTCTACTTTCGTATCCCGACGAACCTCGGGAAGTGCAACATCCCAGGAGTAAAGGCAGGCGACCTGCTGAAGTTAAACAAGCGCATCTACGGGACCAACGATGCAGCTCGTGCGTGGTATGTGGCACTACGCGAGACGCTCGTGAAGCTTGGATGGGAAGGCCTGAGCTTCGAGCCCGCGACCTTCATCAAGCGCAATGCGAAGGGAACGATCATCGGGATCACGTGCCTGCACGTGGATGACTTCCTCATGGGCATCAAGCAGGACGACCCGGAGGGCGCCAAGATCATGAAGGACCTGCAGAAGGAGATCGACTTTGGCGAGGTCAAGTACGCGAGGAAAGAGCAGGCGACGTTCTGTGGCCGGGCCTACAAGCAGGACAAGGACGGCAGCATCAACGTCACCATGGAGGCCTACGTGAAGTCGATGCAGACTGTACGTATCTCCAGGGAGCGCAGCAAGGCACCAGATAGCGCCTTGACCCATGCAGAGCATCGTGGACTACGAATGGTAGTTGGACAACTGCAATGGGCTGCGCGAATGATATGCTTCGAGGAGGCCTTCGAGGCATCCCGACTGGCATCTACGCTGGGAGCTCCGACGGTGAGGGACCTAGAGGACGGCAACGCGGCCATCAGGCGGATTCAGAAGCGGGACGACTTGCTGATCAGGTTCTCAGCAGGCCTGAACCTGTGGGAGACCATGGTGATCAATGTCACCGACAGTGCTTTCGACAATCTGCCGAAGCACAGATCACAACGCGGACACTTCATCATGCTGGGCGACCAGAAGATCAACGAGGACCACAGCAACAAGTACAAGGTGCACTGCATTGGGTGGCAGTCTTCCAAGATTCAACGAGTGGTGCGATCCACTCTATCGGCGGAGGCCTACTCATGTGCGGATTCGGTGGACATGTTGATATGGACGAGGTCGACCCTGGCGGAGATCCTGTACCCAGAGATGGACATGACCGAGATTGTGCACGACACCTGCCCGGTGAAATGCATTTCGGTGACCGACTGCAAGAGCCTATACGACACGATCACAAAGGAGAAGATTTCTATGACGGACAGGAGGCTTTTTTGGGGAAGCGGCTATATTGCGGCAGTCACTCAAAGAGGTCAGCATCAAGTAGGTCACGAGCGAGCAGATGCTAGCGGACTGTTTGACGAAAGTACTTCCAGGAGGCTACGCGAGGAAGATAGTTACATCAAGTTTGTGGACTCTTGGGCCTGATGACAGGACACCATCAATACGCGGACGAAAGCTTGTTGGACCAGAGAAAGTGGCAGCCAACAAAGAGGTAGACGAGCTAAACGCGAAGATGGCCAAGTACGTCATCGGGAAGGACGACGAGAAGATCTCTACGTGGCCGGTGGAGACGTACAACTACGTGGATGAGTGCTTCTACGACGATAAGGACGAACCTCAAGGCGAGGACTACGTCGAGGCATTCTACACGGAAGAGCTAACGGACAACTACCCGATGTAGAGGAGTGGCGCGCAGAGAACCATCCAGATACCTGACCAAGTTGTAGTTCTGTTTCAACTCTGTGCACTTGCAGTGTATGGAGTTTGTCTTTCGATGTCTCCTACGGTGGTGACAGTAGTCTCTATCATCGCGGGTATCATCATATTCATCTACATAATGCAGCCTAAGCAGAACGACGACGAGGACACGGCTGAGCCGATGGAGGTGGATAGTTCAAGCAGCGACAACCTGTTCAAGCCGGAGTTGCCCGAGAAGCCGGTCAAGGTCAAATCCAGGACGGCGAAAGCTACGCCGAAAGCTACGACAACAACACTCGCAGTACGAGCCGATCCAGAGACCTATGACGACGAGATCATGGGAGATGGACCAATCATGCTGGGAGATAGTGCTCTACTGAAGCAGTGGCTGGAGACCATGGGACCGACGATGATCAGGAGTGGCAAGTACGAGGGCGACAGCTACGAGACGATCTATACGAAGGACAGGCACTATGCAACCTGCCTAGGACGGTGTCTCCAGCTGGACGCAGACGAGAGCAGGAGTTATAACCTCGACCCGAGCATCAAGAGCTACATTGCATACAGCATCATCAAGTCAGCAGTGCGTGTACGCTGAACTCCTCCACCACATATGTGACGATATCTTTTTGAGCCAGGCATGGCAGTGGCTCAGATGTGAAGGGTGGTGAGGATGATGAG